GACACAAAGCCAGCGACGGAGATGACCGTGACCTACAACCTTCAGGGCTCGCCCCTGTGCTCCCCTGAGCCAGACCCTCTCCTCGGGCGGGGGGGGGTTAGAATAATGAAATCTCACGATCTCCCTCTGCTGGCCTCTCACTCCCAGCGGACTGTGTTCGGATGGACCGCGCTTGGCCGATATCCAAATCCCACACGCCTGTGCGCTGGCACGCCTGTCCTCCAACCAGGGCTGCAGGTTCCAATAACCAAGCGCCCACAAAACCACAAGCCAGAGCTCAGCGAAGCACTTTTTAGATTTTTCTGCTTCCAGGGGTGACGGGGTCTCCACGTGACCCCCCCCAGTCGGCCTCGCTCGAGGGCTGGTCACCCCAGAAATGCTCCTATTTTAGGCCGTTCCCATCTCAGAACTGCAGAGGAAACTCAATCACCACTGAAGGCTGGGGAAGGGATCAAACAGCAGATCACTTAATGTGTTAATGTTACAGAAATCTGGCGGATACATTTGTATCTGTGTATACAGCTGGGATTTTCAACAGGAGAAATCGAAGTGAACTACCTTGCTCAGGGGTATAACAGCTGTGCCACCAAGGATGTGAACCCTAAACCTTTCTGTTCAAAGGCCAGAGCCCCTGAACACTACTTCTCACTGCTCCCTATGGTCCCAAAAAAAACCCCAAAAACCCAGTAAAAACTAGACGTTGCAGTTCCAGAACAAAATGACATTTTGAAACATTTGTTTCACCGCCCGGCAGGACAAAGTATAGCACATCCCACACCCGAGAGCTGGCACTCGGCAAGACCTGGAGTGGATCTCACTGCTCCGCAACAGAGGTCACACAGCGGTTTCCAGAGACAGCCCCCCCAGCGCTCACTCGAACCTGCTGCACCGGGTCAGTCTCCGTACCCCGCTGTCCGCTCCTTAACACCCGACGCTTTCTACAAACAAGGAAAAGGCCAGCAGGGCTCGTTCTCTTGTTCGCTTGCTTTTCCCCTGTTCCATTTGTCGAGGAGCGAGTGAGCGAGCAAGAAAGAGAGGAGTGACCTGGCCACGGCCTGCAGACAGGATCGGTGCTCAAACGCCCGGCCACGCGCACACACAACCCGAAACCACCACCCTCCTCCGCTCGGTGACCGATAAGCCCTCTCCTCCCATTAGAAACACTGACCCTGTAAGGAACCGATAGCTCCTTCAATTACACTCAGAAACAAAGTGGGGTGAGGGTGGGGGCTCTGCAGCTGGCTGGCTGGCAGAAAGTCAAGGCTAATTTAGACATACTTAACGATCTCCACGGGCACGAAGCCCCTCGCACCACGGCTAGACAGCAGCTCACACCGAGAGAGATCCGCCAGGAACCTGACCTCACAGCTCACAGCGCGATGCCTCAACTCACTGTAGGGTAAGCAGCAGCACAGGCTGCGTGAGATGCGTTCGGTAATAAGCCATTTCACCCACAGATCTCACCCTGGCTTCTTGCAAGAAACGCTACACATTGGCTTCAGCACAGTTGGGCCCTTTGCACAGAGCGATGCGAGAGCATGGAACAGGCTACCCAGCAGTCCTCCGATCAGCTAGCTATAAGCAAACAAACGAGCTCGACATGCAGAACCCTCATCCGTGAGCAGCATGTTGTGTTCTTATTCAATTCTCATCCAATTCACCTTAGAAAAACCAATATCTATAGGTGGGCAACACGTATTTCACCTTCTGATGAAATAAGTTGCGCTTTCACTTTAACGGACTGAAAGCTGTAGTGTATTTAGATCTGTGCTTATTTTAACAAACCACCTGCTGAGTTGATCAGAATTAAAGCACTCGAATGCCTGTCGCAGTGTGGGAGAGCAGGAGAACACCAGTGAAGGCGGCCCAAAAAGATGGACTTCTTTGCTTCGAATACCCAGACCTGGGGACGGGCAATGTGGCTTCACTCCCTCTGGAGCAAGAAGAAGCACTTAAAATGGATCGACAATGAAGACGGTGAGCGGATTGAGCTCATCGCAAACCAGACTGCCTGTCTCTGCACCGGCGATGACGGGATCGGAGCACACATTGTGTGACCATTCCAGCCAGAGACCTGGGATCCATAAGGCCAGTTACAGACAAG